TGTCTTGATATTTGAATATTATTTATGCTCTTTCCAAAAAAGTCAAAGCTTATTTTTTACCTTCATGTATTTAAACTTGGCTGGATCATACACGATCAGCTTGTGGACAGAACTCCCATCACTTACTCCTACTGTCATACTTTGTTTTTCTTCCCCATCTTTCCTTGTGTATGAACTTGGTTGACCACATGACAGTACTTTAAGCTTTTGCGCCAAGCTGTATGGTCCTTCACTTGTTTTTCTATTTGATGTACTTGCCATCTGAAAAGATTTAAATTGATTAATTTATGTCACATTATGCATCAGAAATTCATATTTTTTATTTTAATTAATTATGTACATATGTCAAACATGTGTTCAATAATGTTTTAATAAGGGATTTAGAGCATGTTAAAGTTATACTAATGAAGAAAGTAGGCTGAAAATGCAGTATTTTGTCATATAGGGAGTAATATGTTAACAAAGGTGTAGTTTGACTTCATGATATTTCTTGGATTCGGTGATCTATATCTCGAAGGTAATAAATTAATGGGTAAAGGAAAACAATCATGCTTCCCTTTGAAAAATTTGAAAGAAGCAATTTACTAATTTACTTTTTGTATTCTTTGTCATTTGTTGAAAACTTGAGACTTTTTTTATTAAGACCCAGAGTTTAAGCACAAGAGACTAAGTTAAACTTTACAGATTAATTATGGATGTATAAATGAACAACACTATCAAATTTGAAGATTCATGGGTCTTTTCTTTCCCTCTGTTTAAGAATTTTGAGGACATTTTGTATTGGTAGCAAAAATAAAATAGTTAAGACATTATTTTGGTTCTATGAAAGATATCTTGTATAATTATGAAAATGCATGTTTTTTTAAAGCCATAAAAATATTACATACTTTGATAAAAAATGCTCTTACATATTATTACATGTGTAAGCCTACTAATAATGCATTACGAATACATGACACAGTTTGCTTCAATGTATCATTTTCACATAAAATATCTTACTGCACTCAATAATAAGAAACCTAGCTAAATAATTGACAGTCCCATCATATTAGCAACCTTGCAATTATCACCTGAATGATGCTAAATTTAGTAGCCTCAGGACGCAGACAGAGTTTGTAAACAATCTAATGGGGCCTATCAGATTACCAACCTTGCAATAATTTCGAAGACTGCCTCAAAGCCACGATAGTTCATTAAAGCAAACAAGTTGTTTTTTGTTGTTTTTTTTTAATAACTTTAGAGGAAAAAAATTCATATTTTGTTCAGAACAATTTTTAAGGCATAACCGGCCTTTAAAATTCAAATATCTAATTTTTGATGAATAAATTCTACTATGCCAGTTACGACTCATTTTCAAGCTATATTCATCCAGTGACAGTAATATTTAATTTTACAAAGATTGACAATTACTAAACCAAGTTATTGTTACTTAATATTTGCTTTAATGTTTTTTTAGACTAGCAATATTCTTTTTCAGAAGATGTCAATTTCTAAGTCTTCAATTCCCAAGATTTCAATTCCAAGTTGATTATCCAAGATTTCAATTCCAAGTTGATTTTCCAAGATTTCTATTCCAAGTTGATTTTCCAAGATTCCCAAGCTTATTCTTCATATACATTATTTTAATATATAACAAATTTATTACTTTAAGCACCTGATTTGCAAAGTACCAATACTTGATACAAGTGTTGTGCTCGCTTTTCTTAACTTCAAAATAACTTTTCAGTTTATTGTAAAGGCAAGATAAATTGCTTTGTGATCAGAGTAGTACGATTCTAGAGTGCCAAAATCAATTACTTCACTTTCACATAAAGTGGAATAGACATGATCTATACAAGAGCCATAATCAGTTGTTTCAGTCCTTATCAATTGATTTAACTGACACAAACCACTAAAAAGTGTCAATAGATTCTCATGTATATTGCATTCAAAGTTGAAATCACCCATTAAAACAAGCTTACATGAATTGTTCTGCATTTTGTAATGTGTCATGTCATTTGATACAGCTGACAGAAACTGTGTAATGTTAGCAACAGTTGCACTTCTAGGTGGACAATAAACAAAGCCAATAACAATGTCATGGTTTAAACCTACTAGAATGTACTCAATGGAAGAAATTGTCCTACTGCTTAGTATGTCAATATCTAGGGATGTCTTGTAATAAATAACAAGTCCATGTGCAGCATCTTCCTTATCAGCTGCTTTCATCTTAAACCCATTAACTAGGTAATTTTGATCTACTTCACCCCACACTCGAGCTTCTGCTAGTCCTATTATGTCAGCGTGTAACATGTTTTCATCCAGTTTAAAGTCCTGAAAATGTTTCCTTAGTGATCGACAGTTATGAAAACAAAGCTTCATAACACCAACTTTGGATAGAGACTTTATACGAGGTATGGAGGATATAAACTTGTTTTGCCTAAGTCTTTCCATTTCTGCTTCAACCTCTGCTGACACTGCTATCTTATTTACATTAAGTTCTGTAATGTGAATTTGTGAAAGACTTGTGACTCTACTCAGGCCAACATAGTGTATATGTTCTATTTTCCTTTTACCAAAATGCAACACAGCAGCTTTCATAGTTGAACCCTGGGCTTTATGTATTGTTTTTGCAGCTGACAAACACAAGGGAAACTGACGGCGTGAAACAAGGTATGTTTTGAAGTAACGAAAAGTGAACATGCGTCTAGTCTCTAAAACAGGCGTCCAAACTAGTGGAATATTATCTTTATACAAATGCTTATATTGCAAGCGCCATCTCCTACCGATAGTTTTGTCCTCAAATTCAACCCATATTATGCTACATCTATGTGAGCCAGGAACTCTGAAATCAAATTGTTTAATTTCACAAGATGCACCATTTGTTAAACCATCAGCTGTGTCAATATTACAACAAATTTCTCCTGGCAAACCTATACCAAGTTTTAGTTCCTTCGGAAGACCCATACACTGACTCGGATCATCTGGAATTTTGGCTAAAATAGTACTTCTCAAATTTGAACACACATCTCCGGAAACATCATCAATCGCTTGTACTGTAGTAATGGCAGTTGAAGGAAGGTTTTGAAGCACAGAGAAATTATGTGTAGCACTATCTTGCCTACGACAAAACAAATGTGGCAAGGCTTGAATTGATAAATGTTCATTACTTCCAACCTGGCGAGTTTTAAGTAGCTTCAAGTCATCTTCAGTATGAAGTCCTTCTCTTAATCTATTTAATAATTCAGCAAAAGCCTGGTCATCTTTTTGCCTCATAATAACTCTGAGCTCATAAAAGTCAAAATGTTCAACCCACAGACTTGGTGCAAGACAGTTAATTTGTGGCAAGCTGAACTTCTGAGAAAATATCCATGAATCCATTACTGGTTTCAATTGATAAAGGTCTCCAACTGCAAGAATACTCACATTACCAAATGGCCGGGAACAACCCATTATTTCTTGTAAACGTAAGTTAATGTAATTAAACATCCCTCGGCCAACCATTGAAATTTCATCTATTATCACCACTTTCAGACTATGGTAACGTGCCCGCATCGAATTCAACTGTTGCATGTCAAGTGGTTTGAATTGAAAGCCTTGGTTTGCAGGGATGCAAAAGGCTGAATGTATAGTCAAGCCACCAATGTTATGAGCTGCTTTACCTGTAGGAGCACATAGCAAAATCTTAAATGAATCTGGGTTTTCATCTCTTTTGTGATTAAGATACTTCAATAAACCTTGATAAATGCATCTAGTAACAACTGACTTTCCAACACCAGCTCCACCTGACAAGTAAGTATAAAATGGTAATGACTGCTTCTTAACTTTTTCAAGAATATGGTAGAAAAATTGCATTTGTTCATGATTCAAGCTTCTTATTTGTTGCAGGTATTCTTCATTTTCAATTTCTTTTAGTGGAAGAACTTCACTGCCCAGTGATCTTTGTTGAATGCCAATATCCTCAGCAATATCATAATCAAAGGAACTATTTGATCCTCTACTAGCATCAAAACATTCAAATTCTTCAGAGCAACGTGCACCATTACTCAAGTCAACTGCTTCCTGAAATTCAGATTCAGAGTTAACAACACCAACAAGACTGTCATCAGATTCATCCATCATTGAGATATATTCATCAACTGAAGATTTTTCATACTGCTTCTGTCTCAGTAATAATTCACCTTTTTGTGAATTGAAACTCTGTTCATATGAAGGATATGCATTAAGCAAGTCTTTAACTTCATCTCTCCATGGTCTGTACAGCATTAATTTCTGCCTAAAGTGATCTTCACTGTCTTGAGTAATGGATGTAGGATGTGTATACATAACTTTCTGTCTTGACCTTTTCCTCATTTTAGTGCCACAGGGAAAAGTCACAATACTTTCATAGCATACAGAACCTGAAGGTTCCAACTCATCCTCTTTGTCATGTTCATACTCAGTTTCTGGTAATTCGTCTATTTGTATTTGTGTAACATCTGTTTGCTTTTTTCTCCCTGGGCATAGATCATACCAGGTTGCAAAGTCCGCATAGCACAAATTGTCCATGCTCTTTGGACGTCTTGTGTATCTCTTTAGTATATTATCCATTTCAACATCACATGAAGTTGAAGGCAGTTCTTTCAACAGAGTTTGTGACTTAATAAGAGATGTTCTTTCATTTGGTTGTTTAGTATCAACATAAATAACATCTCTTGTGCATCTACGCAATGGCATTTGTAAAGCTAAATACACTGCCTCTTGAGCTCCTATTTCCACACTAGTTAGGAATTGATTTCCAATTTTTCTGACACGCTGCTTTATGTCAGCATGCTGTTGTTGAGCTTCATGACAAGCATCTCTTAAAAGATTTGAAAGACCACGTTGGCCTTTCGAAATGTAAGAAACTATGTATGACACACAAGAATATGCATCCATAACATATTGAATATCCATGTTAGCTAGCCAACTTTTTATTAATACTCTGTTGTAGTTGTTGATTCTGCTTTCAGAAACAGATCTTCTCAGAAATACCTTTGCCCTTTTAATTGTTGAACGTACAACTTTCAAATACAATGGCAAATCCATATCTATTTTGGAAAGAAATTCTTGGAAAGAAATGCATACATCATTTTTATGCAGTTCATTTAACACAGCTGTCACTTTTTCAATTTTTTTCTGCAAAATCTGAGCAATGTTCAGAATCTTCCAAAGGGTACAGAATTATTGTTTCAGGCATTGGAAACAGAGGAAAATTAAAGCGACAAACATTTTTTCCATTTTTTTTGCATGTACTTGCATGTCTGTGAGTCTGATAATTGATAAGGTCAGGTATATCCTTGTCTTTCAAGCAAGTAACATACTTGTCAATAAAGTTGGCTATAGACGAATCAGAGGCAGAGCCATGCACAGGAGCATTTTTAATCCAAGCAAGCATATGGATGTGTGGAGATCCACGTTGCTGGAACTCAACTCTATAGAAGAAATCTTCTATTTCACCAATTGGGTTGGAGACATGTCTTAAAACTTCCCTCAAGAAAACTTGTACTCTAAAATCAAAAAATCTAGCACAGGTTACTGGGTCACTTTTAATAAGTCTGCATTTCTCTTGCCAAGAAAGCTCATTTGCAGCACTCAGATCTATATTGTTGTGGTCAACAAAACTGGATAAAGTTTTTAATAATGGCTCCCATTTTGTCTCAGCAGCAGAAAATGAACAGAACCATGTTGGCAAACCAATCTGACGTATCATGGAAAAGAGATCTTTTTTGGCTTGTTCCCAATATGGAGGAGATCCTCTCAATGTTCTGAGAACCCTGTAACCATCATCTTGCATGGTTAATTTTTCAACAAATCCTGGAGTTAGCAAACTACCAGCAGTCAATGCCTGGCTTTGCATTTTGCACTTTCTAACAGCTAATGACACTTTATCTCTTATTTGCTTAATTTGCAATTTCTTCAATTTGTAGAAAATATTTGGCAAGCAAAGTGCTACTCTTCTGTCTGCATTTCTTAACTCCCACTTGCAAACATCACTATAATGCAGAGCAACTTGTCGCTTTGAGTTGTCAATACGTGGCTGGCCACAGAAAACTGATGGGAAAGACAAAATTTCTGAATGGGTGTCCTGGAACAATCCAAGCGGACTACTTTTTTCACCAGGTGCTAAACAAAGAATCTGATTGAATTCCCTAAAATCAACAGGTTGTAGACAAGTATCCATGTTACCTGTAAGTCTATCATTGAAATTTTCGTCCTCAGTCCAACAATCAAGTTCAGCATTATCATCACTTGTAGTCTGTCCTTGATCTTCTTTGCAAAAGGCTTCTTGAGGCTGTTGGAGCCACTCTTCATTTATAACAATACCTTCACTTCTGAACAATGCACTGTTGCTTACAAGCCATTTGGCAGCCTCAAAAACTTTATTTGGACGTATATTTTCAAAAGCAACATGATGCTTATAGTCAAGCTTGCGTTTCAGTTTTAACATAATAGTTTCATCATCGCTAAGCAACCGTGGCAAGGCTTTAATAGTGGAGTTTATATCAGCTGGAACATTAACAACATTACCTCGCAAATTTAACTGCCCTCCTCTTGGCATTTCACGTAACTGCATAAAGGGAAGTCTAGGTGAAACTAATCTTTCCTCTAAACTGGACAAATCTAATGCATGTGGCTTGTCTGGAAATTTAAGTCCATTATGTAACCAAAACTTTGGAGTTTTCCCTTTTTTGAGAGATTTCCAGCAGGTCACACATACCCATTGTATCTCATTTACACTATGTATATCAGATAAAAACTGTTGTCTTGTTTCTTTAGACAAATTTAAGGCATTTTTAACATGATGCTTAAAGAATGTTTGGGTGCAGCAAGAGCATATAAACTCTGGTCCAACTGAAACAAGCCTGTGAAATTTTGCAATAATTTTGCTTTCGCTATTTAACACAGGACAGTCATCAGCCACACATTCAAGAGCCCTTTTTCTAGCAGTCTGAATAAACCTGAAACCAAATCTAGGATGGAATATTTCAATAGC